TCTTGAGTGCTCTCCAAACTTCCCAAGTGCATCCATAACTCGATATACGCCCAGCTAAAAGCACTGAACCAATTCTTTAACATACGCACGGCCGTGCGTACATAGAGATTTCGTTTATGATGGCTCAATAGGAATTAGATAGGACTAGCGCGCGCGTGACTCAAAGGTGAGCCTGCTCACAGGCTACAAACTTTGTAACCTATGAATAATGCGTACTTTTATATCCACACATCGTCGTTACTGTAACGATGTAATGATGTCATAAGCCCTTCGGGCTTGCGCAGTAGAATCAGATGTATCCCGGATGTAGCTGTTGTTATATTAGTGTACATGCATACCTATCTGCATCCACTCAACCTTCCCACTGTGCATTCCACCAAAATAACAAAATAGGCTCAATGTAAGGCATATGATATAGAATATTCATCTTTAATTTTGTCCTGTATTTTTTGTAACAAGACATATGTATAAAAGTTTCGCAAGCTTTCTCAAGGTTTACTGACAAATGTGCACTAGATCACTCGCATTTTCTTTGAATAAAATACCATACATAAGCTGTAACAAGCAAACAGTGAATATAAAGCTTTCACTTCTTATAGACGACACAACATTTGCTAAACAATGAACACAAATGCTTGACAACAACACACAGAACAATGCTATATTGTCCAAATCTATTGTACAGCACATGATTCATTCCCCAATCATCCAGTCAATTGTAAGCCTGCTGATAGCTAAGATACATGTCAGGAAGAAGCTTGACGCTTATTGATGTGCCACCAACATTAATAAACATTGTAATGCTCAATAAACACTTAAATCATTTCATGGCAAAGAGCATGAATGAGTTGGCTCATAGAGCCCTTTGATTAATCAGGGTATGGATGTTTTGCAGAAGTACACCCATTAACAGTGAGGCTGTTGCTCCTGTCAGTTCTGTGGTACAAAAAGAATAACAAGATTTATGGGCTGTCTCAGAAAAATTATTGTGTAGGACATCTTTAATTAAATGCATATAGCCTGTATGCCAAATTATTTGTTATAGAGAACTTTAAAAGTGCATTACTCTTACAAAACACTAATGAGATTTCAGTTTCTTTGCTTTTGGTTCACCATTCTCCATGCAATCTAAAATTATTTTTCCTGTGGCCATCACACAGAGGAAGGGAACAACTATCCAGATACCGTTTGGAATAATGAATGCAAAAATCAGTTTCTTCAAATCAATGTAGTTCACAAAGTGTGGTCCACCACACAAAGGAGAGCAGATAAGGAAATATAACACTGTCTTAGCTAATGTCATGGTAGAGACCATGAAGGCAAGCAGCACTGCCAGACCAGCTTTGCTTCTGGTATGCTAAAAACGCAATAAAAAACAATAAAATTAATATTTTAATAGTACAGCGTAAGCTCAAGGTTGACAAAACAAGATGGCCATTATGATAAGATATGATAAATGTACCTTATATAATTGAAGGCTGTGTACCTCCAGATCGGATAATGGAAATTTAGTTGGAGTGGGGGGTCAGAAAAACCACAGTTTTTACAAGAAAGAATAGGGCTTTAGTGAAATTTTCCAAGGGAGGGGGGTGGGAGGGGTCAAACCATAAAAGAAACAACATCCATAGAGGCGGTGATCATGTGGATATTTTTTAAAACAACACAATGTGCTTATTGTTGGATATTTTGCAAGTCTCGTAGTCTTTCTAATACACGATAGTGTAGTCTGTAATTAAGGTAAATTATTAAATCATTAATGATTATTATTCAAATAATAATTTAAATAGTGAAGTTTATACAAAATGTTTTATTATTTGTCACATAAAAACTTTAATGTGTTATTCCAGAAAATATACATACCCCTCCTGCAGAGGGTTCTTAGTTTGACACCCCACCCACCACATCCCTCCAGAAATTCCAGTTTTGGTTCATTACTTCCTTACTTATTTCTTAATACTCTTTGTCCCCTGTGGGGCATAAGGCAACAACAATCCTTCTTCATTTATCCCTATTTTGTGCGATATGTAGTACCACACCCCAAGTGAGTTTTACCTCACTGAGCTCAGCCATGACAGTTTGATGCCAGGTGTTTTATGGCTGACCAGGTTTCCTTTTGCCAGGTGGTGTCCACTGCAGGGCAACCTCGAGGATATGAGCTGATCCATTCTTAGTATGGCATGGCCCAGTCATTGGATGGTTTTGGCTCGTACTTCCCTTCAAATGTTTTTGGCTTTTGACAGCCACCCTCCTCCCTTGGAATTTCCAATAACTGCTCCTTGGAGTGGATATGGATACTTGCTGGAACCACAAATTATAAGGCAGACTAACAAAACTAATGATAATATAGCTGCACTGTTCTAACTGTGAAGTACTCACCATTAATATAGTGATGATATTCAGGCAGATCTCCACCAGGTTCATCCTAAAAGAAATTATAACAAATTTAAACTAGGTAAGGTAATGTAAGGTAAGGTAATTTATTTTACGTCAAGAACACGGGGAGTGGTTGCCCAAGTCTCCCGAGCCAGGGGCTCATGATAAAAGTGTTTTAAATTTTCACAAAAAAAATCTTTGCTAAATCTCCTCTTGAAAATACACAAAATACGAATCAAAAAAGATAATGTGTTACTATCCAGACCACTGATGCTATATACAGCCAGTTTGTACATTGACATGAATTATTGCCATTAATTTTGAACCTCTTTTGACTTGATGGTGGACATCAGTATTATCTTAACTTCACACTTCCCATACCTGTTTATTAGTCCTACTCTTTTTTCCTTCCCCTGTGACACTCATCTCTTGGTGCTCTTTCTATTCTAAAATATTTATCAGTGCTACAGAATTTGTCTTATTTCCCCACTTTCTGCCACGTTTGGAATCCAACTTCCTGCTCTGCAAGCCCTGTTCCCCCACTACTTGATGTAAACTTACCATGTTTGTCCAATGCCAAATGCATCATTAGGATCTTTGTATATTGGGTCAACTTCTATGTAAAGGTTGTCTGAAAAAAATAGAAAGTAACAAATTTTGCTAAAAAGGAGTTGACTTGATGAAATACTAAGCTCCTAAACAAGTCATTTCATTAAAAGAAACAGCACAGGCAAGTGTAGAAGTTGTTTAATGCAAACTTACTCTGCCCATTCCATCATATTATAATGGCAGCAGATCATGCTACAGTAGTTCTGTGTTTTTATCAAGTTAAAGAGGTGCGGCTTTTAGCATACATTTTATTACAGGGTGTTTTCTTATTTGTGTTACAAATGTGGTCGGTAATTAGTAAGGCGGACCTGAACTTCTCACTTCCAATTATACCTTTTACCTCCAGTTCTACCCCTTCCTTGATGATTATCTGTTTATCAAACTCTTTGAGTTGTTTGTGTTGTATAGCAAAATATTGCACAATGCTGTAAAAGTTTTTCCCTATTTCTCCCTATTCCTACACTTTTGTGAATCTTACTTTGTACCTACTGTTAGCCAGTTGTTTTTGCCGTGAAACCCTTTTGTGGAGCGAGATTGAAGTATACTCAGTGAAACATGTATTTCTGAGAACCATGAAAACAGAGATTGAGTTGTGAAATGCAAAATTAAGTTTCGTGACTTCGTGACAAGACCCACTCCCCCCACCACCACCAACCCCCTTCAAGCGCACCTGTATACAAAATAAATACTGAATGATAAAATTTTGTGGTTATTTAGCTGACGAGTGTGCTCTAATTTAACCATTTTGTAGTAGCATAGGGATGTTGTAAAAATATTATTTGAAATAATCTGCAGCCTAATCTATGCAGTGCAACTACCTGGAAAACCTGCAGTAAGTTGAATGATTAAGGTGGTGCGAGACAGATTCCCGTACTTTCCATCAGACTTAGATTTTGATGGGTCATTATAAACACTATATTGGTTGATGCCAAAATCGTGGTATAAAAAAAACTACCCAATCATTGGTGAACATGCTACTGTCAATTTTGTGGCACAATTGGTTACCATAGAAACAATAGGACCTGCTAAAAACACCCTTAATTTTAGCTTTAAGCACTTATAACTTAAATATAAGCTCCGTGACCCCCATTTTTTATTATCGAATTGTAATAAGCATGATAAGATGCAACTTTTTACGAAGTCCAAAAAACTATTGTGGAGTGGGTTCAGAGTCACCTTAAATTTTCGAAAATTTAAGGTGGCTCTGAACCCACACATTGTTGCTATGGTAACCTGTTACACAAAAAGGATGACTGCAACTTGTTTACCAATGATAAGGATTTTGCATGATATCATTATTGTAACATCACTTGTTAAATGGTGATAGTATTCATCCTTCAAAGTATAGCTGTTAGAAAAGTGCTGGAAACTGTTGCCAGCCTCCTTAGTAGCAGATGTAATTTTTAACATTTTGTAATGTATCCTTTCTTTATTAGGATATAGGTTGAATACATGTATTTTTACTAAGTGGATTTTAATTTTATTTTTTACGATTTGTGTATGTTATTGTAAGGCACATTTGATCATATATAAAAATATATATGTTAATTCGCGCTATAGAAATATTAAATATTTTAAAGCTTATTATCATACAGCTTATCTTGAATTGAGTCACGCGATCGAGACACTTAGTTAAGTTATTTAAGGCTTACAAGGTTGGAAAACGTAGTTCCATTTTCCGCCAGGTAGTGTATGAGGTCGCAAAAGCACAAACAAAGAATCGATCGTGCATGTGGTACTCGTAATACCGAGCCAAACTGCAACCCAAAGCGGAAGAAATCGCACCGTCATCTTGAAACCTTCCCAAAGAGGAAATTTGCACACGAGTTGGCGCAATGTATCATGGGTCAGGGTTTCCAAACGATCGAATTTCCGGAAGGTCACAAACGCCCAAGAGACCCTGGAGAGAGAAGATGGCTAACGAAAAGAAAGTTTCCATGCCCTCGTGGGTAGCTTGGTGGCAGTTTATTACAGGAATCATATGTATAATTGACGCAACTTACATTATTTTGCGGCCACGTACCATGAAGTCACAGGGGGGAGATCTTAACTGGCTTTACAGTCCATGTAAGATACTAGCGTTTGATAGCCCAGTTGTGGACCCAGTTGTGGACCTTTAGTGATGTTAATATCACTGTGATATTAACTTAACTTTAATTAAGCACACTGTCAATTTGAACCATGTATTTCTTGATCTGTTGAATTGCATGTTTCTTCAATTCAGACAACCTTTACGTGTCGATAGACTACAGATACGAAGACATGGAAGATGGTTTTGTTAAAGGGGTCAGCTGGTATGAAATACTCTATTTGTATTTGGTCATTTTACTTAGCTTGAATAATCTTTCTTATTTTAATAAGTTTTCGAGTATGCTCTCTTAGGGGTGATGGGTAGGGCTTGATTACAACTCAAAGGGTGGCACACAAACATAAAAGTGTCTGGGACTCAGTGCAAGTGCAACTGAGTGCAAGTGTCATCAGTGCAAGTGTCATCCACCTGCATCCATTTGTGTCTTCCATTTGTGTCTCCGATTTCCATTTGTGTCAACTGTATCGAAGACACAGGCAACCCTGTGCTGAGGTGACTGAAGTTTATTTGCATATTCACAGCTTTATTTCGGTATATTTAGGCCTAAAGTTAATTCTATAAAGCGTTCATTGCATTGTATTTTTTGCCACAACAGTCACACACTGAGCTTGGGCCAGCTGTGATATTCCAGTTTTTAACTGCACCTCCCCTTATAGAGGGCAGAATCTGACACCCTAATTGTTTTATTGTTGGAACCCAAACTTTTGTTGGCTTCTTTGGAAAAATTTTCCAACAGGCCCTTGGGGGTTGGGTAGGTGGGTGGTCATTAAAAATGGAACATCCCATTGAGTCATGAGTCAGCAATTATTGCAACCTGGAGGGGGGGTATTGCAAGGTGGGTGAGTCTGGGTCATATTTTGTTGTTGTTTTGTTTTAAATTATACTATTTTTTGGTACAACCAAAGCTTGGTAATTCCTGCATTTTACTCACTCCTGTCTTCTGAGGTTGTTTGTTTCCCTGAGAGCCATGATTTAATTGGGTGATTCATCCAGTGTCAAAGTTACGGTGAATGTCAGTTTTATTATTTTATGTCGACAACTCTCCAATACTAACTTTTGTCTCTTCTTCTAGGATGAATCTCGTAGAAGTTGTCTTCAATTTTGTCACATTGGCCATGGTAAGTAAAAAGATCTCAAGGCAGACGTAGTTTTGGTTTAAAGGGTTTTTTTGGAAGTGGGCATGGTAGGCTCAGAAGAAAAATGATTGGTGTACATTCTAGTTCTCTTAGGTGACAATCTTCTTTGTTACTTTAAGGATCACGACTTTAGGCTTGTTCTGATTTTTTTGAGCTTGTGCTAGTTGTCAGCCTATCAGATTTGAGGAGAATAACTCTAAGTTTGGGCAAAAATTATAAATAAGAGTCCACAGATTATGGACTTCTGCTTGATGCATCCAGGGCTAAGCTTTGCTCAATCCTTCTGTTGTATTCTTGGACAAGAACCAAGCTTATTATGTAATTTAGCTTTCTCAGAAGTACGAGTGTAAATAGGCACTGAAATGATATTGATGGGGCTGGCTTGACAAAGGTATTCCATCCAGGCTGAGTAGCAATAGTTGTAGATATTTCCCACACTGTGGAAACTAGCAGTTATGAACCTTTTGATCTAGACCAGAATTCATTGGAATTTTGGATTGGAATGTCTTACATCTTATAGTTCATCTCACAGTTTTGATAAATATAATACTGTAAACTACCACGCATAAG